GGTCAGTAAGCACAACCAGAATTCATACATAAGGCACACTCTCGATTTTTGAGAAAATTAAAGGATTTTAAGTGTGGAAAATACGTTATACAGAAGAAAATAATATATCGTTACTGCACATGCTTGAAATTATATCGCGATATGAATTTTAGGCCATATCGCCCAGCCCTAGTGTGAATGTTAGACAGGAAGCACTTATGTAGAAAAAAAGTGCTGAATGAGCAGGTTGCATAAAGCACTGAGTGCTCAGAGTGCAAAAGCACCACATTCATTTACCAGTTAAAGAGACAACAGGTAACAAGTTCTGCTCATTTCGGTGTTTTGCAGATGGACGCTCAGTTACGTCCCTGTTTAACGTCCGTGCTGAAACAATAAATCCTGAAGCATTGGTGGGTTCAGTGCAGGCTCGGCTGCAGCCGCAGGTAAACAACAGCTCGATACAACCTTGATGGAGTTGCGTTGCCGTTTTAAAATGATTGATTATCTCCTTCTGTGTCCTCTCTGTTCCTCTAACAAACCACACATGAACTCTGCGTTAAAGGCTCGAATTAATTCCATCTCCAACGCTCTGCTTATTAAGGCTGCATATTAAACTCATAATTCATAGCCGGGGCATTAGAAGTATCTAAGGCCCCAAAACAAAATGGTTATTACTTCCTCTGTGTCAGAGCCTGACAATGAACATTTAATGGAAATATTTTCATAATAACAGAGCAGACTCGTGATTAATGGATCGTCTGATGCAGTCAGTGACAATGATGTCAGAGCACAGGAGTGGGAAGCTGCTCCAAATACTCAGGACAGATGTAATATTCTTCAGTTGTTTCCTTCCAGGAGAGAAGAAGAGAAGGAGCTGCTCATTACTTTGTGTAATAAGTGACTCATTAATGCCAGCTCAGAGTGCTCAGCTATCACCACTTCTCAACGGTAACGGCACCAAAACAGAGGACTCCTGCTTTTCCTCGCCAGGCAGCGGCTCGGCTCTTACACGTGAGAGTGGTCTCGCAGTTCTGGAGCTTTTTCCCATCATCTCTTCATGACGTTTGTTCAGCGCTCTGACACCTGAGGTGATGGCCTTTGTCTCGATGGGACGGAGATGCCTTCCTCCACCTCCGACACGGCTCAGAGAGAACACGCGTGGGAGAGCGTGTGTGTTGTTGTGTTTGTGTGGGAGATGGCTGGGGGCTACAGGTGGCCGAGGGCAGGGAAAGAGAGACTTTTCAAACGCCCACCCACAGACTCCTGCTCCCCTCACAGCCTCCCACAGACACTTTCCATGTGCAGGAAGGGAAATGTAAATCCTAATACGGCTTTTATATGTTATAAAAACCTGATATTTGTCTGGCTTTTATCGTTAGCCGTCTTAATAAATCTGAATCCAACACATGCAGCTCTGAGGTGTTCTTGCATAACATCCTGGTGACATGCAGGATAACCGTGACTTGTTACTGGGAATGGCTCGTTGCAGGTTTCCCTTTTTTCGGGTGTCTGTAAATCCTGGAGTTCCTGACAACCTGACCGCAGCAGCTAAGTCAAAGAAAGAGGAAAGTTCCAGTGGAGGCGCAAATCACAAATGTGCTGTAACCGTGGCTGGCACTGGCAGCAGGGCAGGAGGGCAGGCGGGCACCGGCGGTGGAAACCTGAGTAAATATATTTATGCTCTTTTCTCTCCTCAAAGGCACTTGTGGTCTACAGCGTCTTTTTCCAATACCTTCATACAGTTTACTTCAGCCCCTCGCATTAAGTTAGCATGGAACAACCGCTGGCTGATACAAAGTCCAGGAAAGCCTGAGAAAAATCACCGGAGAGCGGGATGAAATATCCCGACGTGCTTCCTTTGGAGCGATCCCCAACAAGCATCCTTTCTAAAGAGAGCGTGCTGCCCTGCCTACCTCAGCTGCCTAGCAACAACATTATGTCAAAGAAAACAAAGCAGTGAATGTATGAATGTGTATGTTTAACAAACCACTAGTTACACCCAGTTAACCAGTGACATGTATTTGATACTTGAGACAAGTTACTGTAACCAGTGAACATTCTAAACCTTATGTGGTTCTTAAACATATATTTGAATTTCCCCGATAAACTTCTATGTGTTTAGATCAGACACTTTATGTACGCGTGTTTATCCAATCAGCTGACGTGCTTCGGGGCACATCTGTAACGAAACACTCGCAGGCGCCGCCCTTACTGTAGGCGCCTTCGCTCACCAGAACGTCAGAGTTCGTCAGAGCACATTTGATTTTATTTAAACGTTTTTGTCCCCCGTGTTTGTTTGCAGTTACTAAACAATCAGCCTAAAAATAGTACAGATAACACAGAAGATTAAAACAAACAACAACAACAAGCCCCCCTGAGTCGCTGCATGCCCCCCCCCCCTCCTTTATGGGAGCTGCTGACACTCAGCAATAACATCAGAGGCTTTATTCAAACAGCAGATGGGAGTCACATCTCTCCCTGCTTCACGCTGTCATCAACAGGTGTCGTTAAAACCTCGAGCTCTTGTGAACTTGAGCGCCGTGGAGATGAGTGGAACTAAGCGGGGGGGTTGTCATGGCGACACTGTTGGTGTTGACAGTGACGGTGATGGTAGTGGCGGTAGGCGGGAGCTAAGCGGAGTCATTTCGGTCCTTGCTACCTGTGCGGGCTTGCCTGCGTCTGGCTGCGAGGACGCTGGCTGCAACAAGCCCGAATTCCAAGCAACTGCTGCGAGTTACAAAAACAGCACGCTAAATAAGTGCAACCAGTAAATAAGACGCAGCAAAGAAAGAGAACATTTAAAGAGAATGTGAACTGTAGCATGGCTGTGGGTGACAGTTCAGCAAACGTTTGATTGATTTCGTCTCAGTTTTACAACCTGGTGTTGAAATCGAGGCTTCGCTGCCACCAGCGCAGCACGTATAAGCTCTCTGCGCTTCTGAATGAAGGCTGCCAGCTCCCTCCTTTCCCACACATTGCTCCGAGCCGCCTGAGACAAATCGCCAGTCACGCAAAGCTCAGGATTACCACCGCCACCCCCCTCCGACCCAAAACGGCCACGTCGGTGGCCAAGCGGTCTCCTCCATCCTGCGTTTGCAGTTCAGCTCTGGCATACACAGATGTTTGGGAGCCAGAGCGACAATGCGGCTATTTTTAATCAGAGGCTGCCCACACATGGGCGAGTTTACAGCAGGGGAATATTGTGTGTAAGCGAGGAGCTGACAAACATCAGCAGCCTCCAGGTGGTGAGACTGAGAGCATGGAAAGCAAAGGGGAAGCGGAAAGCTGTGGAAAATTCAACTGGGCCTTAAATATAAGGAGTGACCACAGCCACTTGCAAAGAACCAAACACATGCACACACAAACAGACACTGGACAGCAGCCCTGGCACCTCCACATCCAGAGAAAAGACTCTTATGTAATCTGCACTGAGTGTTTCCACGCTCACAAAGGTTGTGTGAGTGTGCGTCTGTGTGTGCGAATGTGTTAAGGAGAGCATAAAAGCAGCTAGGTGAGACAAGCCGAGCATAAATTAGCCCGAGAGAGTGACAGTAAGAGTTCGGCCGGGTGCAGCCGCGCTGACCTGCCACCTCCACTATATCTCCTGGGACGATGTCTCTGGCTTTGATCCTCTGGACCGCTTTGCGGTTCATGCGATACACCTTTCCCATCTCAGGTTCGTACTCCTTCAGAGCCTCAATGGCATTCTCGGCGTTTCGTTCCTGTGAGATACGGAAAAGAAAAGAAAAAAGTTAATAAGCAAGAACAATTTGATGTCCTTTTGATTTGACGTGATGTTCAGTGAGCAAACTCTGCTCATTGCAAAGATGATATCTCCTAATGTGTTGGTGTTTTGCATGGGCTCTGTGGTTTGTTTATGTTGATGAACAGCCTGATCCCTCTGCAGTGTGCTATCTGGATGCTAACACGTGTCACTATGGTGTCAGTTTGATTAGAGCACACATACAGATTTTTATATGAGACAAGCCAAGCTATATATATATATATATATATATATATATGTAAGTGAATTCTGCAACAGCTGCATGTTTATCAACTACTACTAGCCTTTGTTAGCCTGTGTGTGTGAAGACCAAATCGAATCAACACTCTGAAAAGAGACACAGGACGAAGAGCACATCTCACCTGCCAGACCCCAATAACAGCATTGGCGATGAGGATAAGAAGAATAACAATCGGCTCTACGAAGGCGGTGGTTGTCTCCTCCCCTTCTTCAAACAGAGCCAACACCTATAACATACAGTACAAATGAGCTTAGCTAACATAATAAACTAGCACTCTATAAAACAAAGAAGAAGAAGCTCGGTGCAACGAAATCATAAAATCAGGACAAATAAAACGAAGCAGTATTTGAACAAAGCAGCTGTCGCTGTTTGAGTGGGCCTGTGTTATCCCGTCTTTAAGTCTGACGTCATTAGCCGCTTCCAGATCCAAACTCCGCTTCAGGTTCCAAAGTCAAACAACACTGCGGCACTGAGAGTTAAAAACTGTCTAAATTCTTTCATCTTTAATAAAGTGATCAGTGTTGCTGCTTTACCAGGTGTAACTATGAAGTTTAACATCCAGGCATCCATGAAAACAGAATTTATTACATTTAACAGAGTTAGAAGTTAGCAGGAAGTTAGCTCGCTAGTTAGCTAAACATGATATTGCATGTTCTGACTGAGAGATTAATGAAGAAATTCAAACCTACAGCTCTGCTGTCACTTCCAACATAAATGAAGACAGAAAACTAAACAGCAGTGACGTTTGTAGGGTTACTGAAGTTGGGCTAGCTGCTATATAATGATGTGCTACGTGATCGCTAGCTACACAGCTATGTTAGCATAAACACAGTGAAGCTGGAGGATGAACGCTAACTCTTTTCCCCTCGATAAAAGTTAACGTGAGGGTTCCTGATGGTTAGGGACAAATGCAATCGCATGGCAGGATGCTGTAAACGGACCAAACTTCAGTCAGGAGAACAACTGAGATAATCCATCCACAATACGAGGTTAGTCATTAATATACTGCTGCAGGGGCTGGAGTTACATCGTAAAGTTTAAAAACTGAGCTGTAAAATGATTAGCAGTAATAAAAACCGAGAGAGGCCGACAGTGATCACTGACTGTTTTGAGCGGCTTGTTGAGATTAAATAGAACAAGATACAAAACATTAATATATGTCAAAAACACAACAGACTTCAGAGTAAACAGAGTAGTTTGGGCCCGGAAGCAGGATTCATCACGTCATCACTTAAAGGTTAGCTTGTGTAGCCTTTAGCATCTTTTGGTTTCAGGTTCCTTAGACAGTCCAACAAGATAAACTCACGCTCACTGCAAGTTTACATTCACACGAGATTCCTAACTTTGAAATAGACCAAACCCCCGCTCAAAATATTTATCCGCTACTTTGAGTTTCACATTTAGCTTAAAAGTTTAGCTAATTAATCATCTTCTACTGGCTTATTACTTTAACCAGCTATCAACTAGCTCACTTTATCCAGTTATTTGAGCTACAAATTGTTTCAATCCTTCACTTATTTTGTGCCATGGCAATCCTTTTTATTAACAGTTTGAACATTCATTTTGGCTAATACGTACACAGCTACAGAGCCAGTCTGACATGTAAATGATGAGTTTTGACCCCTCAGCCAATAAAGGACCTCGCCGGGCAGGCAGGTCTGCGACGTGGACACTTAAGTTTGTGGTAACTCAGCCACCGGTATTTTTATGTCATTTCATATGGACTTAGCATCCGTTAGTTTCCAGAGTGGATTTTCTCGTTTCAGTGTTTGAGTCTTTTTCATTACTATGATGTATGAAGGGCAGATGTCAGAGGCAGCATTTAGGAAAATCATTGCAGGCATGACTACGATACTTTTTTGAAAGCAGTTGAAAATCTTGTAGACTCAATAAACATGCCCATCAAAGCCACATCAAACTCACTGCCATAAAACCTTTTATGAAAGTTAATGATACTAAAAGTAAGGATATTTCCTCTGTATTTTTATTTTATGTGACTGCAGTAATATTCTGACCTCCAGTGTATCTGAAGTCAGGAAAGGAGAGGGCTGCTCACCGCCTGTACTATTAACAACCGAGGCACTGAAAGCAGAGAGGCTGGGAAATGGCCCGAGGGTTCAAGCCGGTTTCTCTGCAGTTAGAAGCTGCAAATGACTGCAACAGCGAGGTACAGCACAGTGCAACGAAATCACGGGAAAAGCTAATATTTCTCACACCCGGCAGAAAAAGCTGTCTTCTTTACTTTTTTAAAACAATATCTGTGTGGATTCATGATTGTAATTACTCTCACATGCATTTCTCAGGAGACTGTGCTCTTCACTTCACTCTGCAGGTTTTGCAAGTCCAAGATTAAATCTAATGAAAGGTAAGCTGTGCACACCGAGTAATGGCAAAAACATGTAGCTGCCTTGCCCAGAGCATAATTATGATAGTATGACAAGCAAGGGTGATAAAAACTCAGTAAATAAAGTATGAGATCACTGAGTCATTTCAATGATTACAAAGAACAAACTGGATGAAGTCAAAGCTGTGTTTTTAACCTAGTGTTGTATTCACAGCATCTGCGACTGAACTGTGTTTATGAAAACATACAGTTTGCTGTGTGACATTTTACAAAAGCCTACCAACATCACACGTCCCGTCCACAGCTCCCTGATAAATGCAGACTCAGAACATGGTTTATATCTTTGTCTCAAACTGTGAACTTTTCATTATTATTATTCAAACAGCTGAAACTATAAAATGATGAAGACTCTTAAACAGGCTGCCTTCACATCAGTGGTCACGGGAAACAATTATCCACTAATAAACATATTTAACTTTGTAGAAACAAAACTCATCATTTAGTACCACTCAGTCTGTGTGCTTCAGGCAGCTGAAGCATGAAAACATCCCTGCACTCTGATATTTATGATCGTCTTTTACCAGATAAACCACAGTCACCCAACAGCTGAGCCGTAGATCTTTGCCTAAAGCTGTCTTTACACATGCACTGTATGTCCAGTTTGTTTCTAGACAGTACTGCATCGTGCCTTTATGGTTCATTATAAAATAATAACACAATAAGACACCCCAGTGGAACAGAGAACGGTGTTCACATTATTTTATCTCTGGTGAGAGTAGGAACTAAAACGACTGCAGCAGAGAGCAGCACAGACAGAGCAGTGGGTAAAGTGGATCTATTTTTCGATTATCTGATGGGACTTCTCAAAGACAGAGGACAATTTTCTCTGCAGAGTATTAAGAGCCAGAGTATACGTCACGGCAGCCTGAGCTCGGTCGATAGCTCATCATTCCCCATCGTGTGGGACGGTAAATCTCCCTCCTGTCTGAGCGGAGAGGGGGGGGCAACGATGTCAGTCCTCCGAGTATGGCTGGCTCAAAAAACCAGGATGCGTTCAGAGAGCGGACCGAGTACCAACGCCCGCCTTCACGGCGAGCAGGAGTTGAAAAGCTGGAGATTTCTTTGGCTTTTTGAACCTTTTGAGGGATTCTGGTGGAAATTTCACTGCATGCATTTGGCATCTGAGACAAGATTAAGCTCAGTTTCACTGATGGGTTTGGAAATGTATGCTCCATCACCAACATCAACATACAGCTCAGATCCCACACACAGCGACATGCCACAGCCAGCCAGAGAAAAGCCGTATTCATGAATCGTATTGATCAGACAGGAGAACTCGTGGAGCGTCGTGGAGCGTGGCCTTCTGTGTGTCACCTCCTTTCTTTATATTGTGCTTCCAGTGAGCCAGACTTTGTTTGAGCAGCATTTCTACAGACTGTCTGAGGGTCGTTCATAGTTTCCTTTGTCTGCCTTTCTGCTCATTTTCAGTCCAGTCAGGAATAAAGTCGTTTCCTCGGCATGCTGTGTGCCGGGTGAGTGCAAGACAAAAGAAGAGGTGGCAGGGAGGGCTGTGCCGCGTCGTACCGTCCACCATAGAAAAATGTCATATCACTATATTATTGCGATATCAACAGGATGCGTTTATGTTCCAAGACGAGCCCGGGCGTGTCTGAGAGGAGGAGGCGTGTGGAACCTGGTGATGCGTGACCCACACGCCGCTAGCTGCTCTCCACATGACAGGAAGAGCAAGCGGTGGATGGAAAGCACTGAAGTGGTTGCATAGTGGAAAAGCAGGGCTTCAGCAGCTGGTTAAAAAGCCCAGACGGAGAAAACATTTGCAGCTTTGTTGTGTGACGGTACTGCGCAGCTCTGAGGAGTCGCAGGGTTCAGTTCCTTCAGCAGATATCTGCCCCCACCTGCCTTTGTGCTGACGGGCACTGTGACATAATGCTGAGTCACTACTGTTACACTGCTGCTGGCACCTCGTTTCAAACACACACTGCAAAACAGGAAGTGTGTCATCACTGACACAATGAAGCTCACTGGAAAAGAAAGATGGAAATGACCTTCGCTCACTTCCACTTACAAATGCTGATGTCTGCAAGCATCAAACAATACTCTCTTAACTTCCACAGAAACGTCGTTATCGCACATTTGATGTATCCTAATATCAGGCTGCATCTCTCTGCCTAACATCCATCAGATGAACAGCATGTGAAAGTCACGTCCTCGAGGATAAACAGGAAAAATGCATCTGGCCCTTCAGCTGATCCACCTACTGTTCACTGAAGCCTCGTCGGGAACAGCATCAGTGGAAGGGTGGATGTCACGGAGCATTTTATAAACGGCTGAGGTATGTCACGTTACACAGGGACGGCGCTGAGAATCAGTGGCAACGTCTGATGGAGCCACGGATCCAAGTTTACTTTTTTTGGCTGAAATCATCGTCAACGTCAATCGTCCGACAGTGAGTCGATATCTACACGGTGGAGGCTGCGTCAGGATTTGGGGCAGCAGTGGTGTTGGATCCAGATGCAGTTTTCATTTTTCATCTTGACAGAGAAAAGAAGCAAAAGCAGCTGAGATCCAAAGAAGAGCCTTCAAGAGACCCAGAGAACGGTTCCTGAGCACTTCAAGAGAGTTCAGGCTGTTTTCAAGAATAAAGACGCCAAATATTGACTTTCCAGCTGTCCCGTGCCTGTTTGCACAGTTCAATAAACTGCTGCACCCATTCTCCAAGCACAGTCTAAAGACATGAGGCTTCTGCACAGTCTGTAACTGTAAGCTGGTGCATAACTAACTGTTTGTGAATTCAGTTCCTCATTTATTTGCTCTACATTAAGAGCATATTTTATAAAATGTCCCAACTTGCCCAGTTTCCCACTGGTGCGTCATTGAAAGGAACCAGGGAATCGAATACTGTCAATTTGAATATATTGAAATTAGCAGACAAATAAGTCCCAGATTAGGGCTCAAGTTCAGTCCACGGAGAAGCAGCCACACCCTGGTTGTAGTGGAAACATTCAAAACAGCAACAAAACAGCAAAACAGCTGTGAGATATGAGTTCTAATGAAGTCGACTCTCTGGGCTGGATGACTTTGGATTTCAAGTTGAATCAGGTCACGAGGAAACTTGAGTTTCTGAGCTGACACCACTCCAGGCAACGATGACACTGTAAAGTGTTGGGATGGTGTAGCAGTGGAACAGGTTCCACTATAAACAATCTGCTAAAAGTAAGGAAAGCCTGATTTGCATGAGGAAATTTAAGCCACGTGTCAAAGTCATGGCGCCCACGCCTGCGCTCCGGGTTTGTCACTAACAGAAGAAACAGTAAAGATAGATCGGGTCGGGTTTGTGCCGTTTTCCTACTTTCAGAAACAGCTAGAGCGATTCCATCCCAAGTCACCAGTGCTGTGCTGTAACAGATGGAAAAAGTTATTATGCAGTGAGGATTGCACCACTCCACCCCTCTCTGACCTCCACCTCCCTCAAACTGCAACCGGGTCACAGTCTGAGTGAACGGGAGCTTTGATTGAGAGTTTGTTTCCAGTTTGGCACAAGCAAGGAGGCTGCACTGAACGCATATCAGCACTGGGTGGAAAAGCCTGCGACAGACACGTTTCCACACAAACTGGGTAACAGAATCCTAACAGGGGAATAACAGAGCCGTCTATCAGGTGGCGACTTCCTGGACAGTTAGGGTCTCAAATCCCAGAGCGGCACATCTGAAAGTGGAGACTGACACGTTTTAATTAGCAGGGTCGTACTTACGAAGGAGACGCAGGCAGCCAGCAGCAGGATCCTCACCAAGAGGTCTTCAAACTGCTCCACCACCAACTCCCACAGCGACTTGCCTGAAATGTTTAATTACACATTACACACCTCGATGCATCACACTTGATTTAACGCTGTAAAGAAGTGTGTCCTGGAAAGACGTGTTGACATTAGCTCTCTAATACTGATAAAACAAGACCAACGCTGTATCTACAGTGCTGTGTGTCCGTGGGTGGGGAGCTGCTATAGTGGACACTGCCAAGATTACCCCTCAGTCAACAACAAGACAGAAAGAGAAGATCCCGGCTCAGGATACGTCGTTGAGCACAAAGAGAGGAGCTCTGCAAAAATCAATATTTACCTTCTTCAGCTGGGAGCTCTGTGGATGTCGGGCGGTGCAGGTGGTAGAAGAGTCGAACCGGCAGGGCCGAGGCGGAGGAGAGAAACAGGAAGAGAGCAGTTAATACATTTGATTACCTCAGCGTGACTTTAAGATGCACGGACACAAATCGCTCTGTTGAATTGTTCCGCTTGGTTACGATGATTAAACGCTCCGCGCAGTGACAGCAACGAGGACTACAGGATGCAATCACACGTCTACTGTCGTGATGACCAGCAAGTCCAATTCTAGGATCAGCCACTCGTGGAAGTGCAGCTCGGGATGTTTTGCACGGCGACCCACAGACCACCAATCACCTTTGACTGCTCGTGGTGATGTAACGGCTCCGTCTCGCCACCTCACAGATGTTTCATGACGAGCGTTTCTTCACTAAGACTGAAAAGCCAAGTTTTTTGGAAACCCGTACCCACCGCCTGTTGCATTAATCAGATATTTCTAAAGGCCCGGGCGACCTCTGACCTCATTATGAAGTCACTGCTGATGGAAACAGGTGATTCAGTAAGCTGACAGTCGTATATGGGAGACGCTTTTTTTGCTCAAAACTAAACTAAATTTTTTAACTAACTTTGTTCTAAATCAAACGTCCAACCTCATGAATCCCTGCAGCTTCCATGCTGTTTCTGAGAGCAAAGCTCCCGATGCTCGTGTACGTTAGATTAGAGTGATTGGATAGATTAGTTATGATTGCAATGAGCCACTTCAGTTCAGAAATAAGATTAGCTTTTTATAAAGGTAATCTGTGTTAGTTTATCAACAGGTTGCTCTCAGCACTGGTGCACATTCTGTTTGCTGCACCAAACCCTTTTGTTCATCCACAAGCTAAAATCCACAGAAACAATCACCAAAGTTTCAGCATGTTGCTCCGTTCTGTAACATTTTCTCGTCATTTTCAGGCTTAATCGACATTTCAAAGGAGAAATTGTTTGTTTTTTGGCATCCCGACATCCCCCTACGTACATGAGTCAGCGGCAAGACTAGAAAACACATCAGTCATGTTCTAAAAATGCTCCAATTGACAAGCATGTTGATCAGCGTCACCACAATGAGACAAAAGCACAGTCGCCGTGTTTGTCGGGCCCATATCGGGTCCAGTGCAAAGTCACGACTGAACAGGTCGGACGTAACAAACGAGCTGAGGATGGATCGCTGGACGCGTTTGCTTCGGCGGGATTAGTCATGAATTCTTTCCAGGAAAGTGTGCGTTTTCTTACTGAGGGGATCAAAAAAATATTATTCTTTAATCCACTCCTTTTAAGTGAAGCTTTTTCTGCATATAAAGTAAAAGCTTGAATTACAGCCCTCATTACAGAACGACTGTGGAAAAGCTGCTATACTTAGAAGGCAGTGGGCTGCAGCGCTCAATAATAGCAGCATTCTCCTTTAAGCAGTGGAAACCCCGTGTTTCTCTGCATGCTCTGACCACACTGCACAACACGTGTGTCTAATGTGTAGAGAGGAACTGGAAAGAGGCCGTGACACGAGGCCTCGGCACTCCTTCCACTCGCAGGCGCAGAGAGAAATAAACTGTTTTAGGTGGAGAAGAGATGCTAAAAGCAACCGAGGAGCGTGCCAAATGAGATGATTTATTTCCTTTAATAAAACTACACACAGGCCACCTCTTCAGTGTGCACTTGATAAGGTTTGATAAGGTCAAACCTGCAGCTGATCTGTAGCATTTCTGTATTAGAAAACAACCATCTTGCGGGGGTAGACCCTCACACTGTGGTCAGCTCTCTGCTCCACAAACAGCCTCCTCAGACTGTGTATTAATAGCTGATGAGTCACTGAATAGCTTTTCTAACCTGCCATCTGAAGGGTTTTCTGAGTGCACTCTGCCAGCAGCAGAAATGTGGAGAAGTGGGTTCTGCTGTTTTCCATGCTCCACCAGTGTGACATAAGCCTCTTTCCCCATAACCGTGCCTCCCCGGTTGTATAATGTTTTTATGGCAGACAGGCTGGCTGTGACCCGACTGCGTGAGACAAAGACGGGCTGACTGAAAGGACGAGACAGACGCGAGGGTGGGGG